GAAATCTATATGTCATGCGTAGTCTGTGTGTTGATATAATAGAACAATTTGTATTCCCTTTATAAGTATAGGCAAAGGTTTTGTCCTTGTATATAGGACAGTGTAGTCAGGGTTAAGTAGGTTATGGTAACAAAATGACAGCAAGGGTTTAGAGTTGTTTGTTGAAATAATAGTAATCCTGAAGTGTTCTTTTAAGAAGCGAAGCTACCCTGGAAAAAGCAAGGTAGTAATGTATATTACAAATAGGTATAATGAAAAGTGTTTGAAAGAACATAACAAGTGCCTGTTAAACTTTTTGTAATTAGTGGACCATGAGACAGCATTCGAAGTGCACGGTTTTTACTATATGGTAAGTTTAACATGACTAGTTATGCGTTTAGTTTTAAAAGTTGTACGATAGTTGAGCCACTTTAAAGAAGTATTTGTCGTCTGGTTTGTTTTTAGCACAAAACTAGATAGAAAGGTCTCTGTTCATTCTATGTAGTAGGTATAGATAGTGTGAACTAGATTCAGGTAAAAACAACACTGGCAGCGTGTAGAGTTTGTTGAAACAACAGCACCCGTGAAGTGTCCTTATAACAAGAGTCTTAATATATTTGTTCAGGCAACAGGCCTGACAAGTTAGTACTGTATATCAAAATAGATGCTAGTTATGACACTTTCTTGGGCGCTTTTAAAAATCATATCCAGTTGGTTATAAGTAACTGTTATTTTGCATATCTTATTACTTGGATGTTTAACCATTACCACCACATTCTGTGTGATTTCTATATGCTTGTCAGTGAATTCACCAATGATTACATTAGTTGCTTTAGAATAAGAAGGTTTTTGGCCCCTGACTCACTAAAACATTACCTCTTTGTTTCACAAACCACCAGCCTTTTAGCCTGACTCTTTCATCAGATCGCTTAAAGAAACTATGGGTTGTTTTTAAGGGCAAAGGGCAGATCCACGTGACACATCTGGTACACTGACTGTCTATCACATGGGCACCGTTCAATATAACATCGGGGGTGGGTGGGGTGGTAATGCACACATGTCTGTGAATAATATAACATCCATATCATGGTACTATATTGTGCAAGGCATTCATTAAGATGACACATAAAATACGGGGCAAGTATTCGGTTTCCAATTACACAAAAGCAAGTTGAAGTGGTGGAAAAGTTACATAGTCAGCAAGTAAAACAGGCCCTCAGCACTACATTAATTTCCATATGAGAACAGACTGAGGGCTTAATTGTCAACTTCATATGTAACTTCGTGAAGAATTTATCAATTCTTTCAATTATGTCCTGCAGGCCCAATTGTAACCTCAGTCCTGAAGTTCCAGTCCTTACCCTTGAACCCCCTTAAGTCCGGGTCTGCCTAAATACCTCAACCGACCTCAACCGACCGCGTAATGGGTTAATATGCAGTATACATGGGCCAACAACCCTTTCCAACGCTCTGGATACATTGTCTATGCTTGTATGAATGAAAGTTGAAAGCATGAAGGAAGAGATCGACATGCAACTATTGAAATAAATGATCTGTCTAGCCACCCCCCACCCCCGAATGGGGTCAATGGAGGTCAAGCCGGTAGGCGTACGTGCTTAGCAGCTTGGATGTCAGACCGGAAAACACTCTGTATATAGCTATTATGAGTTGGTTATGATAGTATTTGTGCTTTATAAACCATCATTTTTGCGTTCTGTTGCCTGTATAAAGCAAAATGTGTCCAGAGATTCCCCATGCAGGCCCAACGATGAATAACTTTTAAAAACTGGTAAATACGTCAGAGTTACAGTTTTTTTTCCATTCATACAAGCATAGACAATGTATCCAGAGCGTTGGAAAAGGTTGTTAGCCCATGTATACTGCATATTAACCCATTACGCGGTCGGTGGAGGCCGTTTGAGGTAACGGTTGAGGTATTTAGGCATACCGTTAAGTCCTGCAGTCCCGGTCCTATTTATGTTTCAGTCCTGCAGTCCCGGGTGCTATTTATCACTGTACTAACTTATAAATATCATCAATAACAACAATAAACATCTACACAAAAATACTACCTTATACAAACAAAAACACCCACCTAAACAATATCACACAGTCGAAGGCATGAGCCCTACGAACTCTAGTTAACCCTGAAAACTGTTTTCTTTTACTAGATCTATATTATCATTTATTGATTCAGTGATTACTTTCTGACCTTGTTAGGTCAATTCCCTTTGCTGTGATCAAATCAGAAGATCTGTTTTTTGTAGGGCATCAATCCTTTCATTGTCTGACTATACGGGATATTTTACGAGCAGTAGACTTTGTGACACTTGATTAGGATGATTCAGACATAAAGCCAACCAGTTGCGTTTTGGAATTTCCAGATGTATATCTATATATGCGCTAGTGTACAACATACAGACTGCCTAAATATCACATTTGCCCTATTGTTAGAGCCCCTTGTGTTCTCTTGTCCATTTTTAGATTGATACTGGCAGATGTGAGGACCTAATCTGATTGTGACTTGAACCTGTATGCAGATGCAAAATGACAGTTGATAAAAGATGACAAATGACAACAGACAGAGTGACATACTTGTGCATTGATTGTGAAATTATGAAAAAATTCTCATGAATGTTGGTTGTTGACATGTTAGTTTGTCAGTGTGTCTGAAGAATTTCTCTTCAGAATTTGAGTAATTAACAATTATGTTAGGCCACACAAATTCAATTTGTTGGTTCTCAGCTTCGCTTCTTCACGTTTTTCTGATTTGCAAAAAAAAAGATTCTGATTCTGAATCAAATATGCTCATCTTTTGCCCCTAACAGTTGAAGAAAGTCCTTTTTTTCCTAGCTGTTACAGTGTTTCCATCTATCAATGCAACTGGTTTGATTAAAAGTTCAAAATTCATTCTTTAAATATTAACCCAGCCTTTTGTGTTGACTTCATGGCTCCTATCGTAGCATTTGGGACTATAATAGGATGCCTAGACCTGTTTTTATTTCATTTTTTTTCGCCCTGTCGCATCATATATTTTTGAAAAAATCCGAGAACCAACAAATTACATTAGTGTGGCCTGAGTATGAGATGGTATTACCAGTAAACTATCCTCAAAAAAGGATTATCATTATTTATTCAGGTGACCAGGTGATTTGATATGACATCATCCTTATATTTGTAGATGACGTCCTCTTGTTGAATCAGATGAATCCCTGGAGAGTTATATCTATCAAATTATGAAGGATTCAAGGCCACATACCTATGTTTAATTCATTGTATAAAACAGATTGACGTACTTCATACTTATACATTAGGTTGGTGTGGTCTCTTTTGGCCTAGGAAAAAATGTTGTGTTTCCTGTTTCGGTCCTGAAAAAATTAGGGTCGATAGGGATTATAATTTTTTTCTTTTTTCTTAAGACTTCAGTGATATCTATATAGGGGTCCAACTTATACAGTACAGTTCAACACAGTAAAACATGTATGAGGACACTTTTATTTTCAATGTCAATGTTAGAAAACCAATTGAACAATGTTTTATCACTTGGGTGTCAGATCATAGTGCTAGAAAAGGTTGATGAGCTCAAAAAATTATGTCCCTTGATTGATTAATGGGGTCCACCCCCAAAAAAGTCTAGGGTCGGCAGGTTTTTCTAGGGAAACAGGGAACAGAACTTTTTTTCCCTAGGCCTTTGCCTTATACATGTACAAAGTCATGTCCACATGCAGTTTGACTTCCTGTAATGCCAGTAAAATCTGTTAGAGGGCGCTAGTAAATTCTTTGTATGCGTAGCACACAGTACAGCAGGCAGATGTACTCATGTGCTGAGAGAAACATGACAGGACAGGAGATGACCTGAGCCTGACTGTCAGGAAAAGATAAACAATGTTGTCACCGGAAACTGTTACTGACGTACATGTGAATTAGATGATCGTGTGATGTCCAGTTGTATTGTTGAGATTTCAAACTTGCATAGATCAGTAGAGAAGTGTTCTATAAAAGTACAAAGCTATTGACATAATAAGCAAACACTTGAACTGAAAGAGACAAAAGTGTCATGTAGAATAGAAACTGAAAATGAAAGATACAAAAGTGTCCTATAGCAGATAGAACCTGAAACTGAAAGGTCTAAAATAATCCTTTCATAGATAGAAACTTAGATTGAAAGGTCCAAAATACATAAAATGTAGTAGAAACCTACACTGAAAGGAATAAAAGTGTCCCATGAAGATTAGAAACTGAAACTGAAAGATGCAAAAGTGTCCTGTAAAGAATATAAACTGAAACTGAAAGGTATAAAAATCCTTTCAAGATTAGAAAATTAAACTGAAAGTTCTAAAAAGTGTTGTTTGAATTGATGCCAACCATCAGTATTACAGTCTAGATTTGTATAATCTTAAATCTAGTAGGTCTTCAAGCTAAGAATGTTATCTTTCTGAAGCAAAAACTTTGTATTGTTGCTTTCTAACTTCACCCATTAGGGGGCCTACATGGGGGGGTCCCGACAACGCTCTACGCTAAATTTGGGAGCTGGCTACGTATTACGCTGAATGCAGGAAATTTCTCGATTACGCTTTACGATAAATTCCAAGTGGCTACAATGCATTACATAGAATTAAAATAGCAAATACACTCTACGCAAAATGCGCCAGTTACGCTCAACATTGCATATTGAATTAGAGGCGTCCGTCTACGCTCTTCGTAGACTTAAAACGGCCAATTACGTTCTACGGAAAAGGGCATACGGGCCCCCATTATTGTACATGTGTGGTCCTGCATAGTTCAAGTCCATGTGCTTACATCAGGTAAGTGCTGTACTGTACGAGTGTACCACATGTCCATTATACAGGGATCGAAATTCATTTTTTGGATTAGGTGCACTGGTGCACCTAACCAAAAAAATTAGGTGCACCAAAAAATTTTTGGGTGCACCACATATTTCCAGTAGTACATTAATAAGTAAAATATTACTAATATCAAATTAACAACATCACTGCTCCTCTTTAGCTATCTAACCAACCTTACTGCTCCTCTTCAGACTCAGAGCTTGAAACATCTCTGTTTTGGCATCTTCTAGGCCCATAGGGGGTGGTGTTAGGTCTCCTTCTGCCACCCTCCCACCACAAGGTGACTGCCGGGAGGGGGTCAAACGTGTCCAAGGACTGAGGACTTAACGAGATCGTCATGAGACTTGTCAAGCTGTTGGATTCCAGTCGGGCACGCCAGTCAGTTTTGATTCTGTTCATGAGAGAAAATGATCTCTCGCACTGCGCCGTATGAATAGGAATGACAAGGGAAAGCCTCAGCAGAGTGAAGATGTTCCTGTAATCACTGTCTGCCTCCTCTCTTCTCATGAAGCGCATCCAAAACTCACTGAAACTGGGAGCTCTTCTTGCTTGTGACAGCTGGTTCCTGCAAACCTCTTTTAACTCGCTCCACTCCCTTAAGCAGCTCTCAAGGTCAACGCCTTTCAGTTCAACTGGATGTTGAAAGTGCTGATAGATGGTCCTAATGTCATCGTCTCCAAAGTCATCATCTGGGTCATCATCATCATCCTGTGGCCAAGTTGAAAACTGGAAAACCCTTCTGGCTGCACTGAACACCCTGTGACTCAGCAAGACGTCAAACCTACGACCAAGATGATGTGATGTTGCATTGATAATCTGTTGACAGTCCTTCATCACTTCTTCCCTCTGTGAAGCAAGACCTCCAGGTCGTCCACGTTGTGGTCTGCCTGCCTGCAGTGGGATTCCCTTCCACAGCACAACCCCGTCTCTTTCTTCCATGCCTTCAGAGAAGATCCTGGACAATTTCTCTGGTCGGGACAGTTTGTTCAATGTTTTGACAACATTTTCAACTCTTCTATACACTGTTTCCAGCGTACTGCTGTTGTCCTGGAAAACTTTTGACAGGGATGACATGAGCTGTAGGTATTGTGACAGGAACAAAAGGAACAATACAAACTTGATAGACTTCACACCTTGTAGAATCCCATTCGCTTTTTCCCTGCTGTCCTTGCTGCCAACTTCTCCATGTTCCACAAGGTGGCCAAGATGTTGAACAAGAGCTGGGAAGTCTCTCATGACAGCCTTGAGAGCACGCTCTTGGTGGGGCAGCCATCTCGTACCACTTGCTCTAACTGGTTTTAGCACCAGTATGTCTAGGGCTTCACCAGCATTTCGAAGGCCTTGCCAATTGAGAGCTGAGTTGTGATAGAACTTGTATATTGTAGTGAATAAATCTTGCACTGCAGCAAAGTATGGCACTTCTTTCAATACATCTTTCACAACTAATTCTAGTCTGTGCGCACAGCAGTGGAGCACAATCAAGTGGGGACATTCTTCCTGCAATCTCACACCAACACCGCTGAGATGGCCAACATTGACTGCGGCCCCGTCAAAGCAGGCAAAAGCTAGCTTGTTTTTCCACTCCTCCCCCATCTCCAGATCTTCCTTGAGGGCTGATTTGACAGCGTCAGTTATGTTCACAGCATCCCCTCTTTCCAGAGACTTCAGGGCAACAAAAGCAGTGGTTGGCTCGATGTTGTCCTTGAGGTACCTGATTTGGATAACCTCCTCTTCGATATTACCCGCATCACTGCTTCCATCTGCTAGGACAGCGACGAAGTCCGATTCCTGCAGACTGGAGCGTAACTCCTTCTTCATTCCAAGGGAGATGTAGTCCACAAATATACGCGCTTCCTTGTCATTCCAGTAAGCGGTTCCAACATCCAGCCCATTACATTTTTGCAATCTTAGTAGCTCCGGGAAGTCTGTGTACGGTCTGCCTTGCTTGGCCACATAGAATGCAGTTCGGAAGAGATTTATCATCTGCTGTAACTTCTTTTCTTCCATCTTCTGCACCACCTTTTCCATGGGTCTTTCTTGAATTGGCACCCTTTCCATGTCAAAACGGTTCATAGCACTGACGTGACCTGGTGATTTTTCATGAGACTCTATCACTTTTAATCTCATGGAAGTTGTCCCTGTAATGAAGGCATTCTTTTTGCCACTCTTGTTATATTTTCTGCAAGCCTCACACCACATAAGCTTTCTGTTTTTTTGTTTCAGCCAAGTGCGTCTTTGTTTGGTTGTCTTGTCCACGAACCATGAATCTTGGAACAGGTATATCTTTTCTTCTTCTTCTTCTTTCTCTTCTTTCCTTTATCCTAAAGAAATAAACAATTGTTTGGCCTTATAAACAAAAAACGCCTTGCCCTGTTCACTGCTTTAGGTCAGCTTTAATATCACATTTGTTAAAATTTCAGTGAAAAAGCCAATAGTAAGGTGACAGTCAAACAAATAACAAAATTGACTGCAATTCTTTTTTCCAAAGAGACACAAAAATTACCAAAAGAAGACACTTCAGACTGTACAGTACTTTTAATTGTACTACAATCAACAATCTTCTGTTTAAACTTGGTCACAAATGATAAACTGGTAGAGAAGTTGGTTGAAATAGAAACAAATGACAAACACGATAGTATCAATGATTTTGTTTAATTTCTTAACAACATGTTCCTTTGCTTGTTTTTTTAAAGTAAGGGTAAAGTTTAGGTAAAATTATGAATTCAAATGACTTGCTTTGGGCAAAATACGAAATTTCTACACAGCAACCTTTAATTTCTGGGTAAGACTTCACAGTATACTTAAAAAATTAAGGGTTCCACACGTAAAGAATGCTAAAAATGATCGTAGCAAGAGTGGAAATTGCATCGCTATGGAAATAACACAGTAATGATCTTACCGAAAAAAGGCAAATTTGGATTCCGAGATCGAAAAAAATATTTAAAAAAAATCTAGAAATAAAAAAAACTACACACAAACCCCCGGTCGTTTTGCACTTGACTCCTCAGTTGAATCAGACTCTGACTCGGAATCCGACTCTGATGACCCGGAACTGGACACGGAAGGAGCACGGGAGGCCGTGGACGGCCCGGGAGTGTTGTCTGCTGCCGAGAGCACATGGCCGCCCCCTCCCCCTCTGTCTCGGCGCTCCCACGGCACGGTCGGTCCACTTCTCCCTCGTCCGGGCGTGTTTCCCGTTGGTTTCCAGCTTCATCGGTTCCTTCGGGGTTTTGAAGAGCTTGGGCTGATGATGTTGTTGCCACATCTCTTTCGTCGCCGTCACGATCGGACCTCTGCTGAAGGAACCGTAGAAGCGAAGTCTGCCTCGACATATTTGTTTTGCTTTGTCATCCACGAATTTCATGGCCGAATTTTGTCGACACCCGGGTATTGACGATGTGACCTCGAAGATTATCGAAGGCAAGCGAAAACTGCACGAAAACAACATTTTGTCACATGACATGCCCCCGAGGTAACTCCCAAAAAGCGTCGGAAAGTTCCGGAAGCGAGTTCGTGATGTTTTGGTCACATGACTATCAAGAAACCGGGGAACGAGAAGGAAGAGATCTCGTGTCCAGTGTTGTAGTCGGGATCCGGAAGTTGGTGGGTAACGCGATGTCGGCACTGCGCCGACACATTTTCGGGCTTTAAAAACTGACGTAAATCTAATTCTATCTCAAGAATTTCAAACAAGCAGTGCATCAAAGGTTTTTTATTATTTTATTCCATCACAGCAATGTTGGAATTACAGTGTTTTGTACCTTTACCGTACTTAATACTACAAAAATATTTAGGTGCACCGGTGCACCCACAGTCAAAAATTGGGTGCACCGATCCAATTTTGGGTGCACTAAGGTGCACATGCACCCATTATTTCGATCCCTGTTATACCAACCAGGCGAGCGTAACCGGCGAAAACAAATCTTCTGCCCACCTGAACCAAACTTTTCTCCCACCCCTACACACAAGGTTAAATGTCTGTCTGAAAATACTGTACTGTACAAATTCAGTAACTTGTTTTGTGTGGGTGTGCTTTTTTGGTCTCAAAATAAACGTCAAGCCGCAAGGTGGTACAAAAATAGTATACAAGGAGACGTTGTGGCAAACTATGATTGAAAGGAAAACAGTCTGTCCTTTGTGTTTGAATGGTTGTTCTTAATTAATGTGAACTTTTCCAACTGCTGGAAACAGTAGCTGAGTAGGTAGGTATACTGTTATTCCCAGGTTTTGATAGCCTGCATGGGGGGGGGGGTCCTGACAACGCTGTACGCTACATATTGAGAGTCGACTACATATTATGCTGAATTCAGGAATTCGGTTTTATGTTAAATTCCTGTAGCTACAATGCATTACACAGAATCATATGTCGAATTACGCTCCGCACAAAATGCTGGAATTAGAGCGGCCCGTCTACACTCTACGTAGAAATAAAATGGCTGATTACGCTCTACGGAAAAGGGCATACGGCCCCCTTTCATGATATGAGTACAGAGATGTCTTCATTTGTGTAGAGCACCCCCCCCCCATGGTTGTGTTGTAACAGCTGACATCATTAGTGATAGGTATCTCCTGTGGAAGAGTCCATTGTGAAATATGGGGTGGAAGAGTAAAGATTGATAATTTTAAAGCTGGTAAAGATTCCCCCACAGACACCCTGGGTATAGTCCAGCAGGGCTGGTGGTTTGATATTGGTGATTCCTGGGGTTTTGATTAATAAGCGTAAATTGAGATATGAAATCATTTAGCACAGATGGTTGCCAGGCCATGCTTACTGGTTATATTTTGCAGCTGGGCTAAAAAAAATTAAAAATTAAAATTCATACAGGCCCAACTGGAGACTATTATTACACAAACCTGGGTTGACTTGTGATTAACTTTTAGTCAAATAATACAGTGATGTGTACATGTAACTTTTTTTGTATAATCTTGTGATGTAAAACTTCAATCATGCATATCAATATCAGATTTGTCTAATATGATTGGGCAGGCACCGTCTCAAAATTCATTGTCAATAAAATATTCATTACCTTGGAATATGATACACTGTAATATGCAAACTTTTGAATAAAGACTAAACTTAGTCCAAAACACATGCAGCAGAGAAATGTGCCATGCATAGCAAAATTGGATTTCAAGTTTGCAATAAGCAAAGGTATTTCTAGGTTTTAGGCATGGATTGTGAAATGTAGTACAGTACAATCTGTTGAAATGTGTAGGCAGAAAGAATAGCACATTCATATATATCACTAAACATAACACTCATTTGCTGATGCCTATCTTCACTCTAATGCCTTTGCAGTATTGATCACTTCCTCATGAATTCTTTAAGTCTGAGCTCATCGAGAGGCCAGCTTTTCTTTCCAAATCAAATTTGGTGAGGTCAGCACTTTCACAAGGCTGTGATACTATCTTGAGGAACCACAGAGTTTCTCTCTGCCTTCAGTCTTATCAAACTTTGCACATACATCTAGACAAAATAAAACGTTTAAACTCTGCAGAGTCTGAAACATCAAAGCCTTACATTAGTGTCCCACCTGCCTGGTTCCTGTCCTGTGGTCCTGGGGATGACCAATCCGGAAGAAGTTTAAACACACTGTGACTAAGCAATACTTTCTGGTACAAATCGGGACATACTGAGTTCAAACAGCCCTGAGACCGATAGTTCCCATGTAGGTAGCCTGCCTTCAGTCAGCACGGAATCATTCAAAAGTCCAAGGCCAATTTGTGTTGTGAAACAATACAACACCAGTTTGTTGGTGTGTCAGGCTGATAGGCTAGAAGTGAGACGTGTTAGGCTGCCTGCATGTGTGTGGTTTGTCAATAATCAGAGGGAGGAGTGGCTTGGAAATTGCCCTTACAGTTGATGGAGGGAGCCAGGCTGGAGGTCCCTGTAACCTGACCTGTGGCCATCCCACCAGGGAAACCGGCTGCCAAATTTGTCCAGACCATACACTGCCGATCCAGGCAGAGGGGAAACAATAGACCATGGAGGGGGATACAAGTGGCCTGGTGAACCACACTCTTGGCTGAAATCCCTCCTGAAGTTGCCTGTTGCATGCCGGCGAGAAAGCTTTTTTTTCGCGGTGCCTCGCGGATGTAACCGCCGCGTTCCTGGAGAGCGGGAGAGAGGTTATCGTGAGTGTTGGTGGTTGTACAAACTCCAGTCTTCTTCCTTCCTGCTTGTCCTGGCCGGTCAGACATGTGGAACTGATTGGGCATCTCGCAGGGGAGTCTGATAGATGTGGGAGATATCAACTGACCAGGTTTTCTCTGTGTGTGTGAAGAGAGTGTGTTGCCCTGGCCCCTGGATGGAATAAGCTATCAAGTTAGGCTACCCACAACTAGGGTTGGACTTCTACCTCATGTACGGGCAAGTACTCACTTCTAGCGTGCCAATATGATGAACGGGATAATCACAAAGTGGAGGCGGCGGAGTATCGCGGTGCCCTGCGAAACAGAGAACCACAAGAATGACGATCCGGACGCGATTCTGGAGGAGTTTCTCCCTGACGTGGCCAAAGTTATCCGTGAGATGGAACTGTCCCTGCTGGAATGGGTAAACCCAGTCTTTGTTTGATGCTATTTCTAGGGGTCCTCTTGTAGCTAGCGTGTTTAGTTTGTTGTTCGTGGCTCATTCCAGGGATATCTAATATCCAGGGACAAACATTATTGTATGCCAATCCCCTGTTTTATAAATACTCGCGCCATAAGTGGCAATTATCTCATTATTTCCCAGATTTATCGCACAGTGACAGCAAACTGCAGTTAGCGCATTTCAGTATGTGTCCATTACATAAGAGTAACTTTTATAAACATTTACAAAGCTTAGTCCAAGGTTCTCATAATCTTCATGCTTGTCTCCAGTGTGTTTTTGATGAAACCCCATTTCAATGACATTGGTGTGTATAGGGTGTCAGTCTAATGATTGGGTTGGGAAATTGCTGATGGGCAAATGTCTTCACAAGTTGACAATTGGGACCCAGATTGGAATGTAGGCTGATGTGTCTACAAATATACCCCAGACCCTTGAACTGAACTGGGACTGGCTATTCTTACACAAGAGAAAACATGAACTTTAAAATGTTACCATGTTTTGGATTCTTCCATCTCTCCTGACATTGCTTCTGTAGTTGTGTACAATGGGAGTTGGGAGCTGTTGATCTTGCACCAAGGTTACAAACACGGTCAGCCATTTTTAGGTGGCAAAGGGGAATGGGAAAATTCCAAAGACAGAAACAAATGGAAAGGGGACAGCCTAGGGGAGAGAAGGGACATTTTTCTGATCTAACGTCAGCTAGTAACATACATACTTCTTACAAACATGACTGATGTACCCATTCTGGTATATTTAAACCTGCCTAAGGCTTGAATACCCTAACCCTAACCCTTACCCTGCCCTCTGTATTTCTTATTGTGTTTTGAAGCAGCTGTGAGTAAGTGACTGGTCATAAATTCAAGTACATGTATCATGAAAGTGTTTCAAAAGTCAGGAATATTTGAAATTTATATATTTATTCTAGCATTTGATAGCTTTGTTGTCTTGGTTTGTTTTAAAGCAGCTATCCCAGAGTTTAAGTAACGGCACTTATAAATTCAGGTCTGCTGAGGAACTTGAAAGTGAGTCAAAAGTACTTGAGCAGACCTGAGCTGACAGAGAGGGGAGAGGCCGTGAACTCAGCGGCTCCAAATGTTCACAGAGTAGCAAACGTGTAGTGACAAGAAACAGAGCACCCCTGACTTTCCACACACTGATACAGAACTGAGTAACAAAACAGGACATGTCATACTATCAGTGATCGTCTGGCTGTTATGTAAATGCACTCTCAATATCATGAATATGAGTGAGTAAAGATGGTTCTTTGTCAAGTCAAGTGTATTTCTTTTTAATGATTTCAGTAAAAAGGTGGGAAGAATCACTCTTGATGGAACAGATTCACTTGAGAGGTTTTTAATAGATTTTCTGTCTTTGTAATTACCGGAAAAGATGAATGTTTACTTGTTGATTCGGGTTTGTTTTGAGAAATAACATCAGTACCAGTGTCCTGTTATTGTGAAAAAAGATGAAAAACACTTACAAGGTTATAAATACTGAAGCCAAATGGGGCTTTTCATTCAGTACATAGAAGTTCTAAGGACAGGCAGCCAGTGTGTGAATGAGATGACATCATGTTGCAGCCATGCAGCTCTATCTAGATAAGATGAAGTGGGGAGAAAATCTGTAGCCCATTTGAGCTGTTGTTTGTTTTTGTCTCAACTCCAGTAAGGGGAGGGGGGCAAGTGGGTGGTGCTATCTTCACAGTTCATCACCCAGATGGTCTGATCAGTCTTAAATCTATTCTCTAATTAGCAGGATAAATAAGCTTTCAAGCAGGCTAAATCCCCTTACTTAGCACCGTTTAACTAGCTCCACAAACCATGTAATGTAAACTGTCTTTCTTGTATAAAACTAAATCAAATTTTGCTACAACTTTATACTAACTAAAGATTGATTTTTGCCTGCTAACTCTAAATTTAATACAGTCCATATTCTTTTGATGTGTCAACTTGAAAATAAGTCCAATTAGGTATATTTTAGCTTCTGATATTATAGCTTTATTTCTTGATGAAATAAATGAGGTTCAGTTCTTTCCATCCCTAAATGAAAACCAGACAGGTCTCATCAGTAGTAGAAATAGAGCATGAAATTATATTGTGTTGGAACTAACTTGCTGTCCACTAAGGTGTACTATTCCCTTCAATCTGGTTTTCATTTCGTTGTTGCTGCATGTCCCCTTGAACCATGGATAATTGTGCCCCATGAAGTTCTCAGACAATTTTGAGGTTATGACAAATGAAATCATACATAGATATTGCTGTAACAATGTTTTGCTGCCCTGAATGAAGAAACAGGGTCAGATCGACCCCTCTTGAAGCATTAATGGAACAGCCCTAGTAGTCAGACCCCCCCATGCAAACTGATAAAACTGATTACAATTTATCTTGAATCTAATGTTGTAAAAACTACTTTATTTAGTAACAATAAACAGCGACCAGGTTATTTAGTCTAGAACGAAGTTAATTAAAGGTCCCTGTTCTACACCACCTCCTAATATGTTAAATAAACAACTTGTTCCTGCTTCCAATTTTGCCTACATGTAAAGTTAAATTATTAGCCTTATAGATGTACACAAACTATACAATGATTTACAGCAAAAACAAACTTTATTCTCACCCACTTTATTGTGTTACTATAAGCGCACTGTGCCTGTGCTATTCTATATCTGTATGGTAGTTTGTTATCAAGGTAAGTGAGAGAGATAAAAGTTCATGTGGAACTACCTTTTTGATAGCAGGTCACTTGAAATTTGAAAGTTGCAGGACTGGTGCAAAATTGAGCTCAAATTGATAGAACTTTCAGTAAGATGGACTATCTTGGAATCAAGTATCTTTACTTTCCGACTTTCTAACATTTAGAAGTTAGAAATTATCATGTCAACTTAACAGTGAAAGTTTTTTTATCAAGAGTTGCATTTTTGCTGGTTGTGATCTTCTTAGTAATTATCAAAGTAGGTCTAGACTTCTGATGAGCTGTCCTGATGACTAAGCCCTAAAAGAATTGCGTCCTGTAGAACATCTTTCAGCAGAGACCACCGACCCTCAGGATGCACACTTGTCCTGTTACCCTCTGTAACTTCTCACTTGACAGAGGTGGCCTGCTCAGACCCTGTAGTTTCTGTAGGAGTGAAATATCAGCCTAAAGTCAGCCAGGAACCATTTAAGACCACAGTTCCCAAGAGTGGAAGTGTGAGAACTGCACAGGGGCAGGACATAGAGTGGGTATTGTCTGGGACCTGACCTTAGCTAGGGGGGTTCAGACCACCAGAGTAATAGCTTTAGACAGACAGAGAAAATTTGTAGTTTCGTCAGTCTAAAGTCAGCCTAAGTTCAGCAAAAAGTTACCTATTTAGCAAGAAACTTTGCCTGTATTTGTGAACAATGTTGTACCAAGGAGACCTCATTTGATCAGAAGCATGTGATATGGACTACAGTTTTTATTATGAATGTTACTTTACTCCTTAGACTGAGAGCCGATCATTTAGGATAACTATACAAAAAAAATCCAATTTATGAAGAAATTTAATCCCCGATTTTGAAGGACATACTGGAAATATGTATACCAACAGGTGACAAATTATTTCCTCCAAATTCTCAACAGTAATTATAGCTGGAGGCTATTTTCCCCAATGACTGTTTCTTGTAATAGGCCTATTGTTTAAAACCAATTGAACAATTTTTAGTGATACTCTTTTATGAGAGAGCCATGATGCAATTAGTGAGAAACTTTATCCTCGATTGTATAAAGTTTACTGGAAAGAACACTCTGTCAAGAGACAGAATGTTTCCTCCAATCGTCAGTCAAAGATACTTGAGTTTTTCTAGTGGCTGTTAATGGTTTGATCCAATTAAAGGGTCATTCAATGTTGTGAAAGGTTGAGGCTTGCCTCTGGACATTCCGGCACTGGATCAGTTTCACCTTGAAACAAGGGTTCAGTTTCGTCTCCGTCAGTAATTAACTTTGGCATTTGATTTCAATGTAATTAGGATTGTTACACTAGTACTTGGAAATGTTAGATAAATAAGCATCAAGATGCAAGTCTCAATTGAATAACTGGGTTCAAATGTAGGCTAGCAAATTCTGTCAAGTACTAACTTTGCTTTTGACTATGTTAAAAAGTTTGACCTTTAAAATGTCCTTCTTGGATTCTAGTCACTGGATACGCACAATGGAATTCATGATCCAATTATTTTCTTACTCTTTTAAAAGATCCAACTTCAGATTTTGGCACATGTAAACTGGATTAAAATACCTGGGAGATCGTACCATTTTGAGACCTATCTTGGGTTAAGTCTCTCCCAGACTCATGTGATTTGCTTGCTGAAATTGTTTCCCAAAAATAGGCCAAATGATAAGAACTATTTGATGGAGGATCCAGTAGGCTATCAACGATTCATAACTGCTACCTTAGCTGGCAAAATCAGTCTCACAAGTTATAAAATCATTTTTATTTTTTCAACAAGTAGCAGTCACTGGGAGACATCTATCCCAAGCTGTCAGTATCATCCAAAGCCAGTTAGAGAAGGTTTACATTGACTGGTGCGTTACAATTGTAAAATTGCCCCCCTCCCGGCATGTTGATTGGTGGTAAGGCTGTCAGTGGCCACATCACCCCAGGTCTCCCCCCATGTGGCTTGTAGCTGAACTTGAACTAAAACGCAAAGTGAGCAGAACACCAGATAATAAATCTTCCTCTAACGGCTTTGACCTTGCCACCACGCCTGAAGGGTAACATCAGGATCTGATTTGTACCACTTTGATGTTTGAAATAGAGTTTGATTCCCTCGTGAGTGTTTATGTATTAACTTACAGTTGATAAGAAAATTCAATAACTAAAGTTCAAATCTATTTTGAGGCTTAATTCTGTATCCAAACAAAACCTGGAGGGAAAGAAGAAGTTATATTACAGTAAAGGACATTCTTGTCATTTAGGACACATTGGGCCATTCCAGTAGGCTACTATCATGCTGCAGCAAAATGTACTCTCTAGCGGACCAACTCCCTTGGCACGTTATCTCTCTACTTGGCCAATTTCTACTCTTTCCAGGCATCTCTTGAGGTTGAGGCTATCATTCCATGTATCTTTAAAGAGGCTGGCATTGAAATTTAAACCTGGTCTACAAATTGCAATGTACTTGTTCAATTGGAACATCTATTTGAAAAGTTATGAGGAGGACTATTTTTAATACAATAAACACTTACATGTAGCATACACCTTCATGTTAATACATGTACATACACAGCATGGTCTTTGTGCTATTGCCAATTTTCATCATACCAAGAGACCATCTATCTTTGCCAAGGTTAAGTAAGTCCTTGTAAGCTAAGCAGTAGGAAGCCATGTTGATACCCATGTATGTACTAATGCTCCCAGACCCAGACTGTTAACAGCAGTGACCCCTCAACAACTTGTAATAATCATGTCAGCAGTATCCTTAAACCATTTGTCACACTCTATATTTGGTGCCTAGTCATAACCCCTTTGTGTAAATATTGGTCCTGAAGTCTGGATGATAGATCGCCCCATGTGGCCCCCCTTTCAAAATACCCTGCATCAGGAAACTGGGGCATATCATTGCATGACTTGTGCTATATTTATGTACACGGCACAGTCTGGTATCAGTTTATGATGTCTGAAATTCTGAACACTTCTCGGGAGATTGATTTTATGGGATATGACAAGCTGATTCGTGCATGTAATTTTTTAGTTAGAATGTAACATTAGATGACTCTGTACGAATATTAATATTGATATAAAGAACTTTGTACTAGTATATATGAACTAAAGGATAGGAATTCAAGTGAATATTCAAAATTGCTTTTGACTAAGTTTTACATTGAATTAAAGCTTCAATTGATTATTCATCAGTTCCCATAGGGTGGTTACAACTATTCATGTATGTCTAAACTTTTAAAAATGTAGTTTCACAGAGTTTATTAGAAAGTGCTGACTATTGCCCAGCTGTTCGCCCCTCAGTGTCACCCAATATACATCTGAAACCTTCATTAAGTCACGTTTGACCTCGCATACTCAATGTTATATATATAAACTGTCCCTGGCTCAAGTTAATACTGATGACAAAGTCTGTTTCCCCTCACAAATGTTGGATTTCACAGAACTTCTTTGTATTCTAAATTGTATTTCTAAGGACATTCTGAAAGCTATTTGTCAGTAATATAGTTATTTGATAAGTCTGTGTCATTTTAGGTCAAAGCTATCAGTTACAGACAATGTATGGCACCATTCTTTACTTTGAAGGGTGTCGCAACCTTTTAGCTTCTAAGGGTCAAGGTTCACCATTTAGCACATGACCTGACCCTAACCCATGGTGGAAACAGGGGTGGTGGAGTGGTCTGTTGTCAGGAACTGACACCTTTTTTCTGGCTCAGGATGTGTCAAATCTCCAAAATTTGTAATTACTAATAAAAAGATATGAATACGTTGATGAAGGTTAGACATCCAGGTCACTTTTGAACTAACAGAACTTAAGCACATTTATATGAGCAACTGGAAATAACGGTTGAATGCTGAAGAAGAGTGGTGGATGTCACTCAAATGTCTAGAAATTATCTCTGTAATTTATCCAGTAGTAGAGTTTGAATTTCCTAATTCATGAATCTAGATTGATATTAATCTGCTGTTATGGTATGTTAGAAGTGGTTTGAAAAGTGTATGGCAACAAATTTAGTTAGTATCACTCTTTTGGAACCAAACACAAACAAACTGCAAATCATTAATTAATTTATCAACATCTCTACAGAATGAACTTAAAGGCATCCAGTGCAGTTTTTAGGGCTTGGAAACCTAATGTTTCAGAGCCAATATTCTAGTCGTTTATCTACATACTACGTTAAACCCAAACTATCCTAATGTGTATTGACTCTCAAGGAGCAAAAATTCTGACGGAAAATGGTTACTGAGTGAAAGGGCCCTGGGCTGATTTTTAGGGTACCACCCAGAAAATAAAGAACTCATCTTGGGGCTTGTTTCTTCAGTTTTAAAAGCCCAAAATATGAAATTCTGACTCAAATGTGCCAACATGAAGCAGTATGTGTCAATATCAGAAATCTTGCCTTATTCAGAATATTTCCAGTTTTGCTGCCCTATTAAGCCCATAACTAACACAAATTTGGTGCCAACTAGCAGGCTGAAGTTTGAACTAAAAGTTACAACACATGTTCAGAAGGACAGACCCAGCATGCTTAATGTGGTGCAGATGACTTCTGTAGCCAATCAATGTGTTTCCATTTGTAATAACATGATGGACATTGTTAGCAGACAAATTTGTTTTAGCACAGAAGACCAAATTGAGAAGAGTTGCTGGTCGTAATCCAAAATGCTATAACAAGACTGTGGTTGTGACTTAGAATACTGAAGCATTTGGACAGTCTGAAAATTCTTGGTTGCCTAGTTGACCGTGGAGTCACCTTTACGGCTTCAGCATTGACAGTGACATTCATAACAACTTGTCTTCTTTCTTTTATTCATTTAGAACTTTGATACTGAATAATAAGTGTGTTGAGGGACATAGGAACATAGGACATGAATCTACTGTAAAAAGATTGATATTAAACTGCTGTTATGATATGTTAGAAGTGGTTTGATAAGTTGTGGTGACAAATTTAGTTAGTATCACTCATAACTGCATACTTTTATAAGCATGTTGAGGGAAATAGGAACTTGGTACAAATCTGTCTTCTATTAATAGTGCTAATCCTTCAGGCTTGATATATCATTTTGTACCTGTTGACAAGGATAAAAGCACGGAACACACACATGAGCAACTGAGAATATAATCTTTCATGATATTATCTTAGCCAGTTCAAGGTGATCTAGGTTCTACCTCCCAGACTTTCCTCCTGATAAGGCCTGAGCTGGTGTTTGTCTTTTGTCAGCCCTGACACTCCCCATGTAGCAGGGAGTAGAGATAGGGAAGATAAAAATGGCATTATTGTACTTTATCATGTTGTTTCTACCTTGGTGGCAAAGTATGTCATCAGCTTAATTTTCCTCCCATGTAGCAGGGAGTGAAGATAGGGAGGATAAAAATGGTATCATTGTACTTGATCATGTTGTTTCTACCTTGGTGGTAAAGTATCAGTCATCAGCCAAATGTTCCTCCCACCAGTGATTCAGTTTCAAAGCACTGGCTGTAGTTTTGTTCCTTCTTCAAATAGAGTAACATGTTACATTGTTTCATGACAGCGCAAAGACAGTGTTGGTACTAACTTGGTAGTAGATATTGTTATTTCGCCTTTGAAAGTCAAGTACCTTTGTGCCTTTTACTCCTCCCAGGGGTGCTGTAGTTTTAAATCAAAGCAAACAATGAATTGTAAAATTGTTGGTTAATTGCCTTTCCAATAGGAATTACCTCTCACAAAGACATTAAGGACAATAGGGCAATCAAAAGGCATGAAATCAATACAATGGCACCAGTTGATCATGAACTAACATTAGCAACAAGGTGTGAAATGGACCATTGTGTTCCTGATCCTTTTCAAAATGTCAGCTTCCTGCAAGATGAAGGAAGCCATTTATGACCTCCTTCCTGAAACAACCTTTGCTTACCCTTGGACTTTACCTGACCTCCTGAAGGAAAGTTCTGAAGGAAGCCATTCCTTCTACTCTCCAAAAAAAGGGCCATGTATAAAACGCAAACAATCTTCCACCATCAACCTCTGCTTGAAGAGTAATTCCTTCCATGCACAGCCTTTGCTTGAACTTGAAAGGACTTTTGTGTGATATGGACAGTTGTATGGCAGAAAAACTAAAGGAAGCCCTAAATAGATCTTCTTCCTGCAGCAATCTGTGCTTGACCTTGGACTTTTACTGACCCCCTGAAGGAAAGTCTGAAGGAAGCCATTCCTTCCACAGCTTCTGCTTAAACTTGAACTTAAAACATCTCTAAGGTGCTAGGCATAGAAACTGAAGGAAGGCATAACGACCTTCTTCCTGCAGCGATCTAGGCTTGACCTTGGACTTTTACTGACATCCTCTTGTTTCTTTTATCTCCCGTGCACAGGCCAAGCCCAAGCTGGTGGAGCCCATAGATTACGAGACGTTTGTTATCCAGAAGAAGACACAGATCCACCATGATCCTCAGCGGGACATGCTCTACTTCCCTCATGATGACATCTCGGTAAGTCACAATCTTTTGATGCAAAGTTTTCATCAGCAGTGATCATTAATTTCCTCCCCAAATTTGGAATGGACTGATATTTGCATGTTTGCCAGACTTTTTTTTTCAGGACCTAAGTATGTAGATGTGAGCATAATAAGTGTATAGGTGGGTGTGATGATTGGTTGGTTGAGTAGAGTAAGAATATGTGACGTTACATAACGTGTGTGTATGTGTTTGTGTGTGTGTGTGTCTGCTTGTGTGTGTGTGAGTCTTTGAACATGCGAGTATGGGGTTCTTCTTACTAGAATTTAGGGAACTTCTTGAAATGGATTAAATCTGCTTGACTTCAAAATAAGTAACCGATGAAAATCATATTAGAGGTCCCCCACGGAATATGAACAACATGTGACAGAAAGACAGTCAGTCTCGTGAAACCAACACCTAATTTCATCTCTGGCTTCTCTCCTGCATATTTAATGTGGCATGTGGGTTACGGTTGACAAGCCCCTTGCATTAGAGTTAATAGTAATGAGATTCGGTGGAAAATCCTTCAGCTTGAGGCTTGGGGACTCTTTGTTGACATTTGACCGACCAACACGGTTAGCATTGACCGTTGCATGCAAGGGACAATAAAGTACATCCCCTGTTCTCTAGCGCGATTAATTATTCATAGACGCTTTGATAATTCTGGCTGGGGCTCCATCGGAAAAGGACATCCCTTTCCCATAAACGTCTTTCATGCAGCGAAAAGACGGTAGTACATAGTATAGGATCGGACATGGTACTGGTGTATAGCAGATGGAATGGAGCAATTCTTGGAGATGCTGTTTGGACTTTGAGTAGACTAGGAGAAGATGGCTTACGCAGCTATCAAGAAGAAGCTGAAAAGGAAAGCGTTCAGCAAGAGGGCGGTAGAGGTTGACGTGTTAATGACTGAGGAGTTGGAGGATTTTCTGGTTGATTTATCGGTAGGTCTGGTCGTCTGCTGAAACGATGGGTTTGTACATGTGACTTCTTTAGAGAAGGTCGCACTACATGTAGTTTGTTGCTTCTATTTTATTTCTTGCAATGTGATGAAACTGGAATAGTGTTTTCTTGAGAAATGACCATTTTGTCACAGTGAAGAATTGACAGTGTAGCTCTGATTTTTTAAAAGTTTACAGAGCTGTATATTTTATGGGAAATATGCTTTTGCCTGCTTATGTATAGGTATGGTCGACTTGTCTCTATGTCATATTGTGTTTATATGTTGTGCTGTATACCGATGTCCTTAGTACGTTTGTACAGTTTTATACTTTGTCAAATTTTGTTCTTGACAAAGCATGTCTCTATATGTATTTTCCCAGATTAACATTTATTACAGCAAGTTAACACATAAGCCACAGCTTGATTGCTGAATGTCAACAGTACCATAAATTCCCTGATGTAATTATGATCAAAATAGGTACAGGTGAGATGAATATGAATAATATATGAGTGAAGGTATGAAGTCACAGGTCATTGATTTTGATACAGGGAACAGAGTAGGGTTTACGAATAGAACTACTTTGATGTTCAGATATGTAAGGGCGCCTGCATGCCCTTTTTCGTAATGTGTAATCAGGCCTTTTTAATCTTCGTAATCCGTAGGCAGCTTCCCCCAAAATCGACGTAATTCATAATTAGTTCATTAGCCGCAAAGCATAAAGTCGCAATCAGCTCTGAGACTTTAACGTAATTTATAATTGGTGGCGAAAATTTTGTGTAATTCGAAATCACTACCCCCCATGCAGGCTCTCATATAAAAGTACCACCTTGTGTTTTTGTCTGTCTTCAGTTAGACCCAGATTTAAGACATAAAATATCAAGTAAGGACAGAGAAGTAAGCGTAACTTTAACAAAATGCTTCAGAAAATAGACTCAAGGAAAGGATAATCGATGATGAATGATGTCCAAAGTTGTTTAACAGAAGAACTGTGGTGTTTCCCCTGACCTGGAAATGACCCGTATCCCCATTAGTCGACCTTTAAATGTTAGGTCAGTCCAACATCCAGCCAAATGGACCTTGCAGATGGAGACAAATCTGTCTGACTTTTCCACAACTTTGGAAGCTACATGTAACTTTGTTATGTCGAGTATCACTCAAGCGACCATAGTGACTGCTGTCCTGTCTTGCATTGCCTTCCCTAAGCCTTCAATTTATAGTTCTGTCTTCCATTGAATCCAGTTAGTGTAAATCAAAATGGTACTGGAGTATATTGGTAGATGATTATTATGATATACCGGGTACATGTACATGTACTTCTGAAGTTTCCGAGTTTTGAGAATTTGCCCCTTCTTGGAGATGAAACCTTCTTTCTAGTACGCTGGTAGATTGTCCTGTCTTACATTGCCTTCCCTAAGCCTTTAATTTGTAGTTCTGTCCCCCATTGAAACCAGTTAATTAGGCAGCTTAAATGTATCTAAAAGGTACTGGTGTATAATGCCTGGTATATGATGTACATGTACATGTACCTGACGTGTACATATACTAGTATTTCTCCCATGCAGAGTTTTGAGGATTTGCCCTTTCTTGGTAATAACTTTCAACTTCCTAGTACACTGGTAGATTGTCCATGCCAGATGGGTTCTGTCCAAGCACTCATTATCAGACCTTTGGCTGACATTGCAACACTACATCTCTCTACATCCTGTCTGTCTGCTCTTATCTCTAGTTAAAAGTCTGGCCTTCAAAGTTTGATAGCTGATATTGTGATTAGATGGGTGCAGTTACAGCCTGAACAATACAGTCGTCTATGTTTGAGTCATGTAATATGGACTCACTCATTCACACTAGGCTGGGTTTGCAAAGTGCTAGAATGAGTTCTGAAAAACAGATTGTGCATGGCTTGCCTAAATTGTTTGTGTATTTGTATTGTCACACATGATGTAACAAATTTGGGAGTGATTTCTTCAACAAGTACAATGACATTGTATGATGTAAAAGATACACTCATTGAATATTAGGTAAAGATGCAAGGTTTGAATGAAGTACATGTATGTCCCATCTTATACCTTATGTAGAATTGGAGATCATGCTGACTTGCACAATGTCACACTAAGAGCCTATCGAGCCTTTGAGTTTTTTTTATGTGAATGCCGGGCGTAATTGCCAGCTTCAACATCTAATATGCCAGGAAAACAACACCCTTGACTTGTACTCCCGTAAATTCTTAGCAAAGTCCTTGTGGAGTCATCAGATTTCATAACTGTGAGAGAGTGATCACCTTGTTGATGTGCAAAAGGATGCCTTGTGGGAAAAGCTCTTCCAGGTTTAGACTAAACATGTTTTCTTTTTTGCAGTCCTCTGTCCAGCCCAGGGAGTACAGGACAGTCAGGTCATCAGTCCCGCCAAATGCTGCCAAGGAAGCCAAAAGTCTGCTTGTCAAAGAGGTAGAACTATATTACACTATAATGTGATGTTTCTGCTCTTCATGTAATTTCAGATACCATCCTGCCATCTTTCTACAAAGTAGTTAGCTATAGCCAAATTTCAAATTGTTATCGTTCGTTTGCTTTCTTTGCTAAATGAAATTACATTTTACATTGATGAGGTTTGGAGTAGAAGAATAAGTTCAAATCACAGGGGTCTCCCCAGAAATTCTTACAGAAGAGGTGCTCACTAATCAGTTGATGAAAAATCAGAGAATTTTTGTGGGAAATTGAATACTAAGACTAGTAAGAGAAAACTCAAAATTTGAAAATTTTGGGAGAGGTGCTAGGATTAAGGGATAGGGGAGCACCCTTGCTTCATTGCTTGGGGAGAGCCCTGAAACACTATAGATGAATTCATTTATAAGTTCAACTTCATACTGTTTTTTACAGGGTATTAGTTTTTATACAACTAGTTGGAGCCAGTTGCACTACAAATATGAGGACTATGGTGGCAGTTATCATCACTTACCACGGTACGTAATGGTTATCATCACTGCTTATCAACTTCCTCCTCAGATGGATTTTCTCGTCAAGACTTTCATTAACATTAGATACAATTAAGATAACTTTAACATGTTGGTGAGATACATAAATCTCTTTAATCCTCTTCAATCAAATTTATTGGATGCCTTACGATGGCAGATTGCATGTACATGTAGAATGTCACATTTGTAAGTACCATAGTGAAGATTAATTTTTTATTTTGTTGATAACTTGTTTGTTTGTTTGTATTTATGTTTTGCTGGACAACAGAAGTGACAGGTCTGGGGACCTCCCACCACAGGTTTATGAGTTGGATGAGGCGGACAAAACAGATGAGGTACGATATGGACAATGCCATATGTCGTTTGTTTAAAGAAGACTTAGTACAAAAAAACAACAATGTAACACCTACTTAAAATCTACAGAATTGTATTAACAGTGACTTTGAAAAACTGCAAAAACCTCAGTTTTGCTCTTAATGTGAAGTAAAATTGCTGTGAAAGTAAAAGAATGTACATCAGTTTTCTGATCTTTCTAAACTTTTTATATGCAATCAGCAATGTCACATCTCTAGATTAGCCTTAATTATTAGTAGTTGGTGCTGCAAATTCTATATATTCCACCCTTCCTACATAATCGCACCAGTCCTGTAGTACCCAGTAGCTCCATAACTGACTCTTGTTTCATGGCTTTTATGACCATGTCTTCACAGGAGATGTCCATTCTGTATGAAGGTGCAGAAAGCATCACTAAACAGGGTTTCCTGTACAAGGCACCTCTTAACAGCGAGGGCAGTATCATCACCAGTATGAGGGTAAGTTACATGTCTTTTGGTCACTTACCCTTTTGTATACATTGTACTTATGACACATATTCTGCTGCAAATAACCAGCTTCATGGCACAGTGGAAAATCTCAATTGTACAAAATACTGTCATTTGCTCAACATAAGATTTGCAAAAGATACTCTGCAGTAGTATTGAATAATATTTTCTTTTTTAAAGCTCCTTTGCTTTGACACCAATTTCTTAAGATTATAGACTGAACTCTTAAAGAGGAAGTTAAAGTTGCATGTGCAAAAGTGTAATATTACTGCTACTGTGCGATCTCTTGATATCAACATCAAAGTTCTAGCTTTTAAGGGTGGCCTTTCCTAGAAATATGGCACTTACTGTAATGCTTTGATTTTGTTCCAGTCCTTTAAGAGGCGGTTCTTCCACCTAAAGCAACTTCCGGACAAATCATATGTCTTGGACTACTACAAGGATGAGAAGGCCAAGGAAGCAAAGGGAACAATCTATCTGGACTCCTGTACAGGGGTGGTCAAGGTCTGGATATTTCTATGTCTCTTCATTAATTTTACTATCACAATTCAAACGTACATGTTCAAAACTTCTTAGTCTTAACTTCAGTCCGGTTGACATTGAGACTGAAAATGATTGAAGTTCTGCATTATGATGTAAACAATGTGATAGGCACACTTCACAAAAACAAAATCAAACAAAATGTTACATAATTTTTCCTTTTCTTACATTACATGACTGTATACATATCATTGGAAAGCTCTATGTGTAGTGCAACTTTCTCTTCTTGTCCCTTTTGTCCATGTCTTTGGTGTTTACATACATGCATATGCATTCACACAATCATATACTTTCCAACATGCACGTATATGTCTCTCATGCAAATATATATGGACAACCGTTTGTTACCGGTATCTTGCCCATTCTTATGTTGTACTTGTGTTTGTTTGTGTGTTTGTTTGTGTGTTATGTGTCCATCTTCATGATCCTCCTGATTCTGTCCTCTGTCAAGAAAGGAAACCATAAGGTACATGTCATACCCTTACAGAACATTCTACCTACATGTACCAGTAGGCTATCACTTGCCTGAAAGGAATGTCTTCTAATCATTTGATATTTTTAGAAAAAGCAAGAGTGTGAAGGTAAAGGGACTGCTAAATGCAACCGTAAAGAACATAACTTTGCATACTGTTTTTAACCCACCAGCATTACTAGACATTACTTATCAATAAGTACATCATCATACAGACACCTTGTATATAGTCATGTAAAGTTGTGAATTTCCCCTGTTGTAGAATTCCAAGAGCCGTAAGTTTGGTTTCGAGGTGCGGATGCAGGATGGGAGCTACTACTACCTGGCGGGGGAGGGGGAGGCTGAGATGGACGAGTGGGTGTCGGCCATCAACAAGGTCGTACAGAGTAACATCGAGGCACAGATCAGGCAGGGCGACGAAGGAGGTAAACACAGAAGTTTTGTGAATTCTAATGAAGATGTTTTTTGTTCGACTGAAAGGAAATACTAGAAAGGTAACATTTGCAAAGCATTTCATGTTTACATTCACATGGTCCAGGATAACAGCAAACTACTGCTTTGTTTATTCTTACTCAAACACATTCATATGGTGACCATGCAGCTCCTCTTCAACTAAGTTCTACATGGGACTTGCAACATTATGTAACCCAACACCAGTTACCATGGTGACAGACATCTGGTCCAGGTCATTGACCTTATTTGGTTGGAACAGAAGAAGAAGAAGAGGGAGAAACTGAGCAAAAACAATAGAGAAATACATCAAGTCATTCAGGATTACAAATTGTGGTGTGCAGTACATGTACATGACTGTAACATTACCTATGAAGATGTAGTTTTTCTACCTGTTGTATTTTCATCTCTTGAAGTTTGTTTTGTGGTTATTTCAGAGATGAACGACACTCTGCCTTCACCCAGCAAGTCTGAGAGCCTGAGAGAAAGCCTGGAGAACAGCATGCACCCTGAACTCATGAAGGTCAGGGAAGGTCATACATGTATCAAATCAAAGGAAAATGAACTTGTAATTTGAATGATTACTCTAATGTCAATGCAAGAAAGTTCTGACTGAAAGTTTTAATTCCGACAGTATGCCAGGGAGTCAGACAACCTGATCGCCATCAAGAGGAAGGAGAACAGACAGAAGCTGCTGGATGTGTACCCAGAGATGCAGGTTTGTTTCTGCTCTATATTTTTACCACTCAGATTAATATCATTGTGATTATTGTCTGACTATTTTAATTATTATGTACTTGTTTATATCAGTTTTATTCTGTGTCTGTCCAATATGCATAATTCAGCAACTTGGCTGATTGTATTTTAGTGTATTGTTATAATCGAAACAATAAACCAATCTCGTTTCTTGAAGATGAGAGAATCTGGTCGGAGCCTGCAGAAGGAGGATGACCGTGTGTATGAGGAACAGTTTGGCATCAGGTTCCTGGTCAGGTGTGAGGAGCTCAGGTTCAGACTGGCTGCAAACATCGCAGAGGAGGAAAATGGACCCGTCACCAACGTAAGTCATTCGCACAACCCAAGATAAACCTGTAGTATGGACAGTCGTGCACTTGGTAGTCCAATTGCTTTTTTCAGGCATTAGGAGAACGGGCCTATCAACAATGTAAGTTTATCTCACAGCCATAGATAAACTGTAGCATGGTCAGTCATAACTTTTTTCAGGCCGTAAGGGCAGTGGGTTGTTGATCTACTGTATCTAAGGCACAGTATTGGAAGGCAGGGCTCATCCAATTGTTGAAAATGTAAGAATGAAGCATTGTAAACAAGACCCATGACCAACTTCCCTTGAAAAGTGGTTAAATAAAGGTTCCTCCAGTGGCTTCCACTGCCTTTTACCTCCTCAACCAAGATCAGGTACCCATTCTCCTCAACCGAGATCAGGTACCCATTTTCCTCAACCGAGATCAGGTACCCATTTTACACCTGGGTAGAATGAGGAAAGTGGTGTATAGTACCTTTCCCAAGGACACAATGTCTACCCATGGGATCAAACCCATATGACCTTTTGATCTTGTGTCCACTACCCTAACAACCTGGCCATTCCATGCCACAAATCATGCAGTGTGTGGTCTCTTTCGTGACCTTCATGTTACAGGGCAGCTTTGCAGTGTTCAGACTTGAACATTAAGCTGTGGTCCAATGTCTATGGTTCATGTATTTATTGAAAAGAGCTAGAGAAGTCTTGGCACATTGAACTGCCCTTATTGGCAAGAACAATGGAAGAGTGAGCATTTCAATAAGATTAACTGGATGTTTTTTCATATACTTTCATCTTCCACAGTCCAGTAGATCAAAATGAATCTTGGTAAAAAGATTTGAGTTCCAGCATTTTGATGTATAGTGTAATACCTCCTACAACTTTCTCACCTCATATTTACCTTGTTATCGACAGACCTCTAGAATGTTCTTCCAACAGGAGACTTATTTTTCATAGTCAGATAAAGCTCTGTAATGGAATAGCTGAAGACAAGCTACGTGCATTACTACCCCTAGTCTTGATAACATGACTTCAGGGTTACACTTTGAGCCAGATCAATGCCAGTTAATGCCTTGGACTTCATCCAAATGGACAATCTGACAGCATCGCCCCATGCATTATTTAGTGCTGGTGTGTTTTGGCAAGCTACACGGTCGTAAAATTGCACATTGCTGTAGTAACGTTGTTATGTGTGTAATACTGTTATCTATACCGCCGTTGGCTTACTGACTAAAGAATGATGTATTAGAAATGTATCATGTTTTTTTCTGTGTCTAACAGATTATTCAGTTCAAGGTGCCCTTTGAATGTAGATTTTATGATCGTACATGCACTGTACATGTACAATCTCATATACATGACATTGTATACTTTTTGCCTGTATTTGATGTTACAAATGTACTGTAGTTTCATACTACTTCTAGTACTAGTATATTGTACCAGATACAGGTATACTTTTCCAGAAAGTTCAGCTAAGATGTTAACGTAGTTAGAGAAGGCTGTAATGCTGTTTAGCAGCTTTGGGGCTTCCTGCATTGATGGAATTATGTTGAAATTTATCAAATCTTGACGTACATTTGTATGCATTACTATTACCAGTTGTCAACACCAATGTTCCAAGCCAGATCACTTTAGTTTCAGTCAGTTGAGGAAAATTTGTCTTTTTGCTTATTATTCTAACCCTCTAGCATTGGCGTGTCTGTACATGTATGTTAAGAAGTGCTCTTGTTAATATGGAGACTTAGTATTAATACATATGTAGGAGCAAAGCAATATAGATGTTGGAATATAATCTACATTGTGTCTTGACCAAAAAGTGAGAAAAAGTCATGGTGAAAGTATAGTGTGTTGAAAAAATGTTGATGATATACTAATATAATTTACACCAATGATATAGTTCACATTATGCAATAATGATGACAGTGGTGATACATGTACAATGTACATGTATATCTACTAGTACATATGTTTAAGAGACTGGCTCCTCAGTTTGATTTGGAAATTGTAACTCCTTACAGGTCGAGCCTTTCTTCACCACCCTGTCCCTCTACGACGCCAAAGAGAACAAGAAGATCTCGGAAGACTTTCACTTTGACATCAACGACGTGAAAGTTCGGCAGATGTTGGTGCGAGGGAAGGATGCGGAAAACATTCCAAATGGCCACAGTAACGGTGATGCACAGCTACGACACGGGAAGTTCACCCCGTACCTTGGCAAGCTGAAGGAGGAATGGTTGCAATATCCTCATCAGGTAACTATGTGTGTAACTGGTCTTCTCATGCACCGGTTCACCATCCCTTAAGGTAAAATGGTTTGGTCCAAAACACATTGACCATTGAATCGTTGCCACCAAGCACAGTTGGGGCATCATCACTAAAAAGCTTTAAAGAACCCCTGCTGGTAAATGTGCAAAGATTGGGTGTAACAGGTTGTTTGGTGTAATATACATGTACATGTAGATAGCCGCTGCCATGCCATGTGCCTGTGAAGCTGGTATGTTACGAAGAAGGGCAGTTATACCAGCTATACTGATACAGATAGAAATATACAGAATCCGTGCTTTTTGAACATCTAGATACGTCCATGACAGAAAACCAAAATAAAACAAAACAAAAAAATGCAAGAAAGCTCACATTTTGTTGAGATGAACAAGTGAAAAGATAATCTCTGCATGCATAGCACTACACATGATAATGCTTGCAAAAGTCAAGTAGTTCTAGTAAGAGTAGACATTGCTTTCTCGAGAATGTAGATTTTCGTAGATCGCGCTTTCCTTCTTTACATTGACTAATTCTTTTGCCTTCTCTCTTTCTCTGTCTGACAATACTACAGCTTCCTTTCCTTCCAGCTACGGTTAGTTCTGTGTTCTCTCTGCCCTTCTTTCCTCTTCTTGTTCTGCCATAGCCTGGGTGCCATCCTCCTTAGTTTCTGCCGGCTCCCTAATGTCACTGTCTACCACGGTCTGTGGTAGCCAGCGACATTAGGGAGCCAGCGGAAACTATGGAAGATGACATGCAGGCTAGTTCTGCCAGGATGTTCAATAACATTTTCAGCTCTGACAAAACACAAATGTTAAAGTGTGTGCTGCAATCCAGTGGTAGACTTATTACTAACATAGTTACTTAGTAAAACAATTATTTGATCCTAGCCCATACTTACATGTTGTATCTGTACTGTCATGATATTATGTATTATGTCTTGATGTTTGTAATTTGGACAAAACAAAACATGTAGTAAACTAAATGAATGCTTGTGAGAAAGTTGTGATTTTTTGTGTGTTACTTTGACAGTTGTCTGTGATGTGTGTTATGTTTGTATTAAACTTACACAATTACAGACAAGTAATGTATACTTATAATTTGATGCTTGTATATTGAGGTATGAATGATAACTGTTGGGGAGGTTGTGTGCTAGCTAAACATAACCATTTGTTGTAGATATAGCTCAATAACAAAACATTTTCTCTGCCCAATCCTTGCTTGGTGGAAGTCTGGTGGAAAAGTTGGACTCGACCACCCAGAGTGACAAAACTTGTTCCTGATTACCGGCTTCTGTTGTCCACAGGGTCTTTTTTCAGTCACCAATCCCCACCCAGACATCTACCTTGTGTTGAGAATAGAGAAAGTTCTGCAGGGACACATCAACAACTGTGTGGAGCCGTACCTGAAGGGAGGCGAGAACTGCAAGGTAGGGGGCGCTGCTGTAAGGTCCCGGTAGAAAGTTTATCATGCCAGTAGGCAGGATTTTGCTTGAGGGGATCTTCCCACTGTCTGAGGGGGTCCGGAGGCATGCTCCCCCATAAAATTTTGAAAATTGAATGTTCTGAAATGGCATTTCCTGCGTTTTTGAGAGGATTTCAAACGAAACATCAGAGATGACTTTTGTTCAATGACAAAATGATTTTCTAGGATTCCACCCTGCTGGTGATACAAATCAGTCCACCTTTTAAAGAAAAATCTTGCACCTTTAGATAAAACCTTTGAGCCTTGTGGGCGGTTCTTCAGAACTTCTTCCCCCTTGTTACGGGCATGGTTAATTAGACATATAAAAGATGTATAAGTCATCAAGAAAGTATAACTTATAAGAGACAACAAGGTGCTAATTATTAGAAATGTATGTGCAAGACTGGGAAGTGCATGAGATGTGTTGTATACTTTTTGTGTATTGTTACATGTATGTGTAATATCAGTTTTTACTTTGAATTTTAGGTGTCCCAAAAGGCTGTAAGACAGGCTAAACATTTCTGCAGCAGACTGGGACAGTACAGGATGCCTTTTGGATGGGCAGCAAGGTACAAAACGTTTTGATGGTATCAATCAATTTCAATTTATTATAAAAATTTGACATGGCAGAAGTACATGAACATCTTAATTGTGTCGAATTTACAAAATCAATAGTTACTATTGCTTAAAACCCTAATCTTTGTTACAAACTGATATGATTTATATGTGCCCTAAGAGTTAGTGAGACATTTTTGTTGCTGCAATGCCACATGTTTTATACAATAAAGTAAGAAACACGCTAACAGTATTACTGAGTGATGTTCTGATGTGTTTCCAGGCCAGTGTTCAAGAGTTCGTCAGGAGAACTTGACACTGAGGCAGACTTCACCCCCATCTTCAAACAGGAGAGTCAGAAGCTGTCTGATGAGGACATGTTCAAACATCTGGCTGATATCAAAAGGTTAGAACTTATAAAATCAATTTTTTACATTAGCTCATTAAATTGAGGGGGGAGGTGTTAAAACAAAAGATAAATGGGTAATTTTGTGTTTGTATGATATGGACATTCCCAATAGATCACCAAACACATGTACATGTCTCTCTCTATCTATCTATGGCAGTCACTTGAGATCTTTATTTGCAAGCAGGTACAGATTCATGTACAGATACATATTCATGTACAGATACAGATTCATGTACAGATATGCAGATACAGATTTTCCGAGTATGATGACCGTGTCAGTCCCTACACCTGAGTCAGGAGGGTTGACAGGGTGGTCTTCGCGTGGATTTGTTTAAGGTGGATAACAGGTTGCCAATCTGAGACCCACACACTTTGGGCATCCGTCTTCTCCAGCGGCACTATATTGAGAGAGACATGCCATACATGTTTATGTGCAGGAACACTCATAATCTAGCTGCTCAACCATGCTAAGAAATATAAATGGCTGGCATGTAAGTCTGTCAGTAAGCTAGTGTAACACATGCATGACTGTCACATTGCTATTTCCAGACCAGAGAAAATGTCCAAACTTCAGCCAATTCCAGCCAGCCTGAGGGTAGCAGTAGAAGCTGTCCAGTCACAGTTGCCAGGTACCAAGTTTTCCTGTCTTGTCCAGTCATACATAATTGTCAGGAAACGGTTTGAAACAATTTCGAGCGACTAAATAATATGAAAGTTCTTGCATCCTCTTTTAAGAATATAAACCGTGAAATGCTTTGACTTCAATGACTTTGGTATTGCCTTAAAGAAACTTCCCCAGAAAACAGATGTTCTCTAACCAACACACTAAGAAAACTGCATGCAGCTACAATGTTATGAAGCAGTTTAAACTGTAATTTCCAACACAAAGGATTGGACTGTCCTTGACAAAGACCGGAGCTGTACAGTAAAAATTTGGGTCCAATCCCTTGTGTTGGAAATTACTGTTTAAACTGCTTCATAATGACTACCAACACAGATGAACTTTCAAGACAGCTACAATGTTATTGTCTTCTGTCATTTCTTTCTAGGCTGTGTGACATCGTCCCTGGTCCCTGTCCGGCCATTCCCAGACTCTCCGTCTCACATCATTCGGGAAATCGAGGAGTTTCTACCAGAAGATGCCTCTGTCCTGCAACCCTTCACTTCCTACAAGAACAACCTGTACATATATCCTCTCATACTCAAGTTTGACAACCAGAAAACATTTGCCAAGGTACGGCCATAGATCGGACACATGCAGAGTTAATGCATGTGAAAATTTTTGAGATTAACATCACAAAGTTTAATGCATAATGGCTCACAGATTGCAGCACATTTTTGAACTTTTCAGTCTTCTCTATATTTGTTCTAAATGATTTCCTCTTTGAGGTACTCCTCTTACAATGTAAAATTGTAGCTTTTCCATTTATACATGCCAATTGCAGTCCCATAGATTTCTGTTTGTTACATGTACGGTGTTACTGACTGAGTGTCTTGTCTTTCCATGAAGGCCCGTAACATAGCCTGCTGTGTAGAGTTTAGGGACTCTGATGATGAAGATGCATTACCTTTAAAGGTAAGACTGTATGATACATGTAATCAACTTCTTGTAATTTTTCAAAAAGCACTTGAATTTTGCTCTCAATAAGAAAGGATAAAGCAAGACATGGTGTATAAAACATGGTATATAATGTATTCTACTGATGCATACTTTGATCCTTTGTTGTCATCCTTAAATTATGATAGTTTGAGTTGTATAAAATAAGGCATCAACTGGAGCCTGAAGTACATTTGTAAAAATGTGTTTGTTGTAACTGCACATGTAATTGAGAAATGTTTCCCTGTTATGTCTAGTGTATCTACAGCAGGCCAGGGTGCCCTGTGTTCACCACAAGTGCCAATGCTGCTGTGCTGCACCACAACACAACACCTGACTTCTATGAAGAGGTTCGTACCCACTGAACAATATCCAATACTCATGCCATTCTCTGGAACTCACTTCACCCGCAGAACTTTCAGACATACTGCAGCACACATCTGAAACAGCCTCCCAGACAATTTGGTCGGCCTGATCACTAACCGACAACAACCTCCAATCTTTTAAAACAAGAGTACACCGGCATTTTCTTTCCACCTTCAGGACTTCTACATGTAGCTAGAACCTTGCAGTTGCTGTAAACCAATGATTAGCCAGGAGTGTAATTTTGTATTGTTACAACCCAGGCTATTGTCTATGTCAGCACATGATAGAAAAAAAATGCTAGAATATTTTTTGCAACCATAACTCAACAAGGCTTCTGTTGTACAGCAACTTTTAAACAAAGCATGTACAAAGATAATTTTCAATGTGTCTGATGTGCCTTTCAGGTGAAAATCGCCTTACCCACCCAGCTGCAGGACAGACACCATCTCCTCTTCACCTTCTACCATGTCAGCTGTGACCAGTCTGTTAAGGGCTCAACCAAGAAGAAAGACAACGTGGAGACTGTTGGTGGGTAGACTTGAATACTGGCTCCATCCTACATGTAGATGACCCTTGTTATGGACTCAACCTTCAGCATACTATGTATGATTGTCACCTATGATGATGTGTGATGATAAATGTAGTTACCAGGTATTTAAGAATCTTAAACATACTGACCCTCATTTTGCTGGTCCTCATTTTAATTGTGTTTTCTTTCTGACATTTTCTGTACTAGTTGGGTATGCCTGGCTACCTATTCTGAAGGATGGAAAGTAAGTACACGGTATTTATTGTTACTATCTGTTATGCTATATGAAAACCTTACTATTTGCAATCTTATATTCTTATACATGCCTTAGAAGTTCATGATTCAAGACACCAACAGTATTTCTATTCTAGAAGGTAATGCTCAATGTCATGACAGTTTGTCAAATGTTGATGCTAAGATTATTTTTCTCTCTCCTTTCAGAATCAACCTCCAGGATGAAGAATCCCTGCCCATTTCTGCCCACCTCCCTCCTGGCTACCTTACACACAAGCCACTGGGCATGGGGAAGGTAAGGCATACCTTGTTTGAGACATATTACAGATCATGTTTCATCTGTTTTATACTAATGTATCAGAAGCTGCATATTTATTAACTACATTTCACATGTCAGGAATTTTCCAGATGGTTGGGCCATTTTCATCTCAGTGAGTGAGTGAGTGAGTGAGTGAGTGAGTAAGCGTGTGTTTGTGAATGAATGAATGAATAGATAAATGAATGAATAAACATGCAAATGAACAAATCTTTAAAAGGAACCAACAGACAATATGATTTTAGACCACACAGGTCACAAGTTGCCATGTCCTAATAGTAATATTGAAGACATGTAAACATGAATTTCTCTTGAAGTGATTCTTGTCTCTATATAAAATAAGACATGGTTTGTCCTCCATGTTCCCAGATTGCAGGACCGGAGATCAAGTGGGTGGATGGAGGCAAGAAGCTCTTCACCCTGTCCACAAGGCTGGCATCCTCCATATACTCCAAGGTAAATGCAAGCCGTTATTCTTAAGATTTCTTAAGTTGAAATCTTTTAAACCTATTTTGAGTTTTTTTTACACATTTATCTGCCCCTTTATCTCTTTTCAAAGTAAACCCATGTGTGGTCCTTGTTTGATGTTTTGGTGCACTCAAATTCAGAACAAAGTCAGACAAAATTTGCACTCTTGTACTACTCAGTTTGTTAGGAACATATTTCAGCACCATGGACAGATACATGGATTTGTCCTTGGTGCTGAAATTTTCCAAACAGTAGCTTAAGCTGCTCAAACATCTTCTGTACTACAATCTCTTTATTGGTACAGTTTGGCTTATGTCTGTGTGACTGAAATGCTATTTTACAGGACAATGACAGTTACTTCAAGCAAATTGAATATTTGTTTAGGTAATGGTATACTTACGTTTTAATGCTTGTTTGTAAACTATGAATCCCTTGATAATAGCGTCGTTGTCTACTTTCTGCCCTGTTCAGGACATGCACATGAACAACTTCTACTCCCACTGTGAGAAGGTAGACTCCAACAGTGGTGGCAGTGACTTGGACATGTGCAAATATCTAAAGGTAAATAAGAAACATTGCAAATGATATGTAGATATGCAAACCACTTGATATTTTTAGACCATACAGTACAAATGTATTTTGTAGCTGTTGCTAAGGCCTTGGGACTAGAATGTCTTGAGAAAGAGTATGGTAGTTAAACACATCTCTTTACTGTAGTGGTCAGTGTGGCCCAAGAGCTACAGAAATGGAGATGGTCATTGCTTTTGTACACCAAACACTGGCTGGGGTAAGGATTTTAATTACTGTAACAGTATTCTATGAAAATAGTACTCAATCAAGTCCTATGTCCCTGTAGTCCCTCCATGCAGCAGATGAGTGCACAGTGGTCCATTTCCTGCCTGTACTGTTGAACCAACTCTTCAGAGTCTTGGTCAAGACTAACAGTGAAGATGTGGCCACCAATGCTACCAGGTCAGCTTTGGTGTCATGTTGGTGCATTTGTACATTATTTTAAAAACAATGAGATGCTGTAGATTCATTTTACTAACTCTACAAATTATACTGACAAGACTTGAGGTTATGTATCAGACAGGATGTAGTGAGAAACTGTTCATTGATTTGTTGGAAAACAAAACAAAACAGGTTTAAATTCATTGAATTTTAGAAAAAAAGGATATTTCCACCATGGGTTCAGTGTTCACAATGCTGAACAGCATTTCCATGTCCCTTTCAGAGTGCTGGTCCACGTTGTGTCCAAGATGCATGAAAATGGACACCAAAAGTTGTTGCAGTCATATGTCAAGGTAAGGGATTTGCTTCCTTTAAAAGCTAACAAAAGCATGACATGTTATTGAAGAATTAGTATTAACCAGTATCAATGTAAAAATATGATATACAATTGTATTATGTGAAGAGCATGACACAAAATTTTGAGTGCTAGAGAATTTGGATGTAAAATTGTATTCATTGTGTCGTTACAGAATGTGTTTGTGACAGAACCAGTGACAGCATCCAAACCCAAGACAGTCCACGAGGAGCTGGCCAAGAACATGAACATCCTCCTGAGACCCTCCTCGGACTTTCTTGTCATCCACAAGCTCATGAATGTAAGAATTCTTCCTTTCTTAATCTTGCACAAAGTTTTGAACAAACCAGATTTTTTACCAGTTTTAATGCTTCAAAGTTTCAACTGGCAAAAAGCAAATTGAAAAATGGATAGATACATGGAGCTGAAGACATTTCAAAGTTAACCTTGTAATTTTTCAAAACAGCAGGATTCATACAAGCACCTTATGGTACCATTGGTCTTTTTGTGAAGTTTTACTTGTGACAGTTTGACATGTTTTTTTTCCTACAGCATGCTTGGTTCTTCTTTGAAATCATTGTTAAGAGTATGGGGCAACATCTCATCACCATGAACAGATTACAGGTAAGTGCAATCTCGCTTATTGTTGCTCACCCAGCTTGTTTGTCACTGAAAAGGGTAGCAGTCCTGTGGATGGGGTTTTAAAGATTCAGTCATACCATTTCTTTGTATTTCTCAAAATATGTTATGAGAATTTTAAATTTCTTGATACATTAGACCTGTTCATGTTTACACTGTAGCAACGTTACTTTCTTCCTATGTCCAGCGGAAGTTTAGCATTTCAGCAAATTAGTGTGTATATTATCCAGGTGATTCCAATTATCCGTTGTCCTCACAGGTGAGCAGACATTCTCGGTTCCCTGCGTCCTACCAGTTTGCCATCCAGAGCCTGCTGCAGACCCTCATGCCCCACATCACACAGAAGCACAAGGAGAACGCCCTGGAGGTCGGCAACGCCAACCGCAGCCTCGCAAACTTCATCAAGGTACTGGTCATTATGTCTCAGTTTCAGAGCAAAATGTATAATTATAATTGTTGTAATGGCAGTGAGTTTGACAATTTTTTTTATTC